GGTGACACGCCTCTGATTGTCGCGTCCAAGAGCAACCGGTTGGAGATTGTCGTGTTGTTGTTAAAGGCAGACGCGGATCGAACGATGACCAACTGTGTAAGTCATTCAACAGACCAAGTCGATTTAACGTCATTTATTTTGTTTTGGTAGGACGGAATGGGACCGCTGCATGTGGCGGCCGAGCGCGGGCATGCAGCGGTCGTGGCAGAACTAGTCGTGTGGGGGCTCCATCACGACAAAGATAAGGTAATATCGTCACCCCCCCTACTAATTGCATCAAATATCATCACCCCCCCTACTAATTGCATCAAATATTGGCCGAAAAGTCCACGAAACAATGAAACTGTACGTGTAGAAAGGGCGGACGGCGTTGGAGATTGCCCACGAGTTCCGAAACACGGACGCCCTCCAAGTGCTGGTGGAGTGCCAGGCCGCGGTCACCGTACGCTTGACTTTAGTATAGTTTGGGTGATTTATACATGTATACGTGTGTGTTTATATATATATCGCAGGCCCTGCACGAGATCCTCGACAACGGATGGGACTGGGACCACCGCTCCACAATGGTCACGTGGAGATCGTACAACTGCTGCTGCTTCAGCCGTCTATAAATATCAACGCGGCAGCTCATGTATATAAACAGTAGCAACTCTTCGTGTATTAGCCATTTTTAGTCATTTTTGACGCTTTTTCCTCGCATTTCCAGTGACTTTTGAGACTATTCACTTTTAATAGTCACATTTGACAATATTTTAGTGTTTTTACACTCTTTGAACCGTAGGACGGCACGACCCCGCTGTATATTGCGTGCCAGAACGGCCATGCCGAGATTGTGCAGCTGGTGCTGCTCCACCCTACCGTGCTAGTGAACCACCGCACCAATGTGAGTACTTCTAGTACAAAACATCCGATACAGTATATATACAAAAAGTAATACTTTTGCCGCTTTTGCGGGTACTTATTGCTACAGGACCAACTTATGACGCCGCTGTATGTCGCTTGCGAGAAAGGACATGTGGAGGTCGTGCGACGGTTGCTCCTTCACGCAACGCTGGACATCAACCTCCCCAGCACGGTTAGTAGCCTTACAACGATCAATCGTCGTAGTAACGTTACTACTAGTAGTACTAACGCTCCCCTAGGATGGCGACACGCCTCTGATTGTCGCGTCCAAGAGGAACCGGTTGGAGATTGTCGCGTTGTTGTTAAAGGCAGACGCGGATCGAACGATGACCAACTGTGTAAGTCATTCAACAGACCAAGTCGATTTAACGTCTATTTTGTTTTGGTAGGACGGAATGGGACCGCTGCATGTGGCGGCCGAGCGCGGGCATGCAGCGGTCGTGGCAGAACTAGTCGTGTGGGGGCTCCATCACGACAAAGATAAGGTAATATCGTCACCCCCCCTACT